TTCCTCCCACTCGCTAGCCAGCCGCAGGGCCAGAGCCCCCGTTCGCTTCCTCCCACTCGCTAGCCAGCCGCAGGGCCAGAGCCCCCGTTCGCTTCCTCCCACTCGCTAGCCAGCCGCAGGGCCAGAGCCCCCGTTCGCTTCCTCCCACTCGCTAGCCAGCCGCAGGGCCAGAGCCCCCGTTCGCTTCCTCCCACTCGCTAGCCAGCCGCAGGGCCAGAGCCCCCGTTCGCTTCCTCCCACTCGCTAGCCAGCCGCAGGGCCAGAGCCCCCGTTCGCTTCCTCCCACTCGCTAGCCAGCCGCAGGGCCAGAGCCCCCGTTCGCTTCCTCCCACTCGCTAGCCAGCCGCAGGGCCAGAGCCCACGTTCGCTTCCTCCCACTCGCTAGCCAGCCGCAGGGCCAGAGCCCCCGTTCGCTTCCTCCCACTCGCTAGCCAGCCGCAGGGCCAGAGCCCACGTTCGCTTCCTCCCACTCGCTAGCCAGCCGCAGGGCCAGAGCCCCCGTTCGCTTCCTCCCACTCGCTAGCCAGCCGCAGGGCCAGAGCCCACGTTCGCTTCCTCCCACTCGCTAGCCAGCCGCAGGGCCAGAGCCCCCGTTCGCTTCCTCCCACTCGCTAGCCAGCCGCAGGGCCAGAGCCCACGTTCGCTTCCTCCCACTCGCTAGCCAGCCGCAGGGCCAGAGCCCCCGTTCGCTTCCTCCCACTCGCTAGCCAGCCGCAGGGCCAGAGCCCACGTTCGCTTCCTCCCACTCGCTAGCCAGCCGCAGGGCCAGAGCCCCCGTTCGCTTCCTCCCACTCGCTAGCCAGCCGCAGGGCCAGAGCCCACGTTCGCTTCCTCCCACTCGCTAGCCAGCCGCAGGGCCAGAGCCCCCGTTCGCTTCCTCCCACTCGCTAGCCAGCCGCAGGGCCAGAGCCCACGTTCGCTTCCTCCCACTCGCTAGCCAGCCGCAGGGCCAGAGCCCCCGTTCGCTTCCTCCCACTCGCTAGCCAGCCGCAGGGCCAGAGCCCCCGTTCGCTTCCTCCCACTCGCTAGCCAGCCGCAGGGCCAGAGCCCCCGTTCGCTTCCTCCCACTCGCTAGCCAGCCGCAGGGCCAGAGCCCCCGTTCGCTTCCTCCCACTCGCTAGCCAGCCGCAGGGCCAGAGCCCCCGTTCGCTTCCTCCCACTCGCTAGCCAGCCGCAGGGCCAGAGCCCCCGTTCGCTTCCTCCCACTCGCTAGCCAGCCGCAGGGCCAGAGCCCCCGTTCGCTTCCTCCCACTCGCTAGCCAGCCGCAGGGCCAGAGCCCCCGTTCGCTTCCTCCCACTCGCTAGCCAGCCGCAGGGCCAGAGCCCCCGTTCGCTTCCTCCCACTCGCTAGCCAGCCGCAGGGCCAGAGCCCCCGTTCGCTTCCTCCCACTCGCTAGCCAGCCGCAGGGCCAGAGCCCCCGTTCGCTTCCTCCCACTCGCTAGCCAGCCGCAGGGCCAGAGCCCACGTTCGCTTCCTCCCATTCGCATTTCGCTCCTTTGGGATTGTCAGGAAGCTGCTGCCAGTCAGAATTGGTCGGTTTCGCCCACTCTAGCACATTTACCCGGAGGGGCTCTGGGCTGGGGGTGCAGGAGGGGTCTGGGTGTACCCCTCGCCCAGAATGCTTCCCCCTTGGAGATTCGTATCAGGGCTGCTTGCTCTTCCCCGTCATGTCCCTGGCAGGGAATGAGAACAAAGCGCACAGCTTGTCTGCCCCCTGCACTCCCCAGCCAGAGTGAGGAATGCAGCAAACTGCACTTTCCCCTCGCTCCCTGATGAAGGGAACCAGCCAGCAATGTCCCTGTATGAATCTGGGGAGGTTCTCCCCCCGCCTCCCCCATCCCTAAAGGCATCTGGGGAGTGGGAGGCTCGGGCAGTCTTGGCTGGGGACCCCCTCCACCTGCCTGCTGACTTCCTCCCACTCGCTAGCCAGCCGCAGGGCCAGAGCCCCCGTTCGCTTCCTCCCACTCGCTAGCCAGCCGCAGGGCCAGAGCCCCCGTTCGCTTCCTCCCACTCGCTAGCCAGCCGCAGGGCCAGAGCCCCCGTTCGCTTCCTCCCACTCGCTAGCCAGCCGCAGGGCCAGAGCCCCCGTTCGCTTCCTCCCACTCGCTAGCCAGCCGCAGGGCCAGAGCCCCCGTTCGCTTCCTCCCACTCGCTAGCCAGCCGCAGGGCCAGAGCCCCCGTTCGCTTCCTCCCACTCGCTAGCCAGCCGCAGGGCCAGAGCCCCCGTTCGCTTCCTCCCACTCGCTAGCCAGCCGCAGGGCCAGAGCCCCCGTTCGCTTCCTCCCACTCGCTAGCCAGCCGCAGGGCCAGAGCCCCCGTTCGCTTCCTCCCACTCGCTAGCCAGCCGCAGGGCCAGAGCCCCCGTTCGCTTCCTCCCACTCGCTAGCCAGCCGCAGGGCCAGAGCCCCCGTTCGCTTCCTCCCACTCGCTAGCCAGCCGCAGGGCCAGAGCCCCCGTTCGCTTCCTCCCACTCGCTAGCCAGCCGCAGGGCCAGAGCCCCCGTTCGCTTCCTCCCACTCGCTAGCCAGCCGCAGGGCCAGAGCCCCCGTTCGCTTCCTCCCACTCGCTAGCCAGCCGCAGGGCCAGAGCCCCCGTTCGCTTCCTCCCACTCGCTAGCCAGCCGCAGGGCCAGAGCCCCCGTTCGCTTCCTCCCACTCGCTAGCCAGCCGCAGGGCCAGAGCCCCCGTTCGCTTCCTCCCACTCGCTAGCCAGCCGCAGGGCCAGAGCCCCCGTTCGCTTCCTCCCACTCGCTAGCCAGCCGCAGGGCCAGAGCCCCCGTTCGCTTCCTCCCACTCGCTAGCCAGCCGCAGGGCCAGAGCCCACGTTCGCTTCCTCCCACTCGCTAGCCAGCCGCAGGGCCAGAGCCCCCGTTCGCTTCCTCCCACTCGCTAGCCAGCCGCAGGGCCAGAGCCCCCGTTCGCTTCCTCCCACTCGCTAGCCAGCCGCAGGGCCAGAGCCCCCGTTCGCTTCCTCCCACTCGCTAGCCAGCCGCAGGGCCAGAGCCCCCGTTCGCTTCCTCCCACTCGCTAGCCAGCCGCAGGGCCAGAGCCCCCGTTCGCTTCCTCCCACTCGCTAGCCAGCCGCAGGGCCAGAGCCCCCGTTCGCTTCCTCCCACTCGCTAGCCAGCCGCAGGGCCAGAGCCCCCGTTCGCTTCCTCCCACTCGCTAGCCAGCCGCAGGGCCAGAGCCCCCGTTCGCTTCCTCCCACTCGCTAGCCAGCCGCAGGGCCAGAGCCCCCGTTCGCTTCCTCCCACTCGCTAGCCAGCCGCAGGGCCAGAGCCCCCGTTCGCTTCCTCCCACTCGCTAGCCAGCCGCAGGGCCAGAGCCCCCGTTCGCTTCCTCCCACTCGCTAGCCAGCCGCAGGGCCAGAGCCCCCGTTCGCTTCCTCCCACTCGCTAGCCAGCCGCAGGGCCAGAGCCCCCGTTCGCTTCCTCCCACTCGCTAGCCAGCCGCAGGGCCAGAGCCCCCGTTCGCTTCCTCCCACTCGCTAGCCAGCCGCAGGGCCAGAGCCCCCGTTCGCTTCCTCCCACTCGCTAGCCAGCCGCAGGGCCAGAGCCCCCGTTCGCTTCCTCCCACTCGCTAGCCAGCCGCAGGGCCAGAGCCCCCGTTCGCTTCCTCCCACTCGCTAGCCAGCCGCAGGGCCAGAGCCCCCGTTCGCTTCCTCCCACTCGCTAGCCAGCCGCAGGGCCAGAGCCCCCGTTCGCTTCCTCCCACTCGCTAGCCAGCCGCAGGGCCAGAGCCCCCGTTCGCTTCCTCCCACTCGCTAGCCAGCCGCAGGGCCAGAGCCCCCGTTCGCTTCCTCCCACTCGCTAGCCAGCCGCAGGGCCAGAGCCCCCGTTCGCTTCCTCCCACTCGCTAGCCAGCCGCAGGGCCAGAGCCCCCGTTCGCTTCCTCCCACTCGCTAGCCAGCCGCAGGGCCAGAGCCCCCGTTCGCTTCCTCCCACTCGCTAGCCAGCCGCAGGGCCAGAGCCCCCGTTCGCTTCCTCCCACTCGCTAGCCAGCCGCAGGGCCAGAGCCCCCGTTCGCTTCCTCCCACTCGCTAGCCAGCCGCAGGGCCAGAGCCCACGTTCGCTTCCTCCCACTCGCTAGCCAGCCGCAGGGCCAGAGCCCACGTTCGCTTCCTCCCATTCGCATTTCGCTCCTTTGGGATTGTCAGGAAGCTGCTGCCAGTCAGAATTGGTCGGTTTCGCCCACTCTAGCACATTTACCCGGAGGGGCTCTGGGCTGGGGGTGCAGGAGGGGTCTGGGTGTACCCCTCGCCCAGAATGCTTCCCCCTTGGAGATTCGTATCAGGGCTGCTTGCTCTTCCCCGTCATGTCCCTGGCAGGGAATGAGAACAAAGCGCACAGCTTGTCTGCCCCCTGCACTCCCCAGCCAGAGTGAGGAATGCAGCAAACTGCACTTTCCCCTCGCTCCCTGATGAAGGGAACCAGCCAGCAATGTCCCTGTATGAATCTGGGGAGGTTCTCCCCCCGCCTCCCCCATCCCTAAAGGCATCTGGGGAGTGGGAGGCTCGGGCAGTCTTGGCTGGGGACCCCCTCCACCTGCCTGCTGACTCTGTCTCTTTTCTGTAGGGTTTTATGAGAAGCAATCCCATTGGCCTGGCACAACCACGCCCGTATATTCCTCTCCGTGGTGCTGCGAGGAAGCTGGGTACTGAATTCGAAGGCCCTAGCTCTTACTGCTTAGGAGGAGTTCCTGAACAACCATACAGACGAACGCTCTCCAATACACAGTAGATCGCACACACCCAAGCCTAATTTCCTGGCGCTTGTGCTGCAAAGCCAGCAAAACAAGGGATGGGGGAGGGGGGCGACGTTAAGAACCCAAACCCCATTCCCACTGAAATGTTCAAAACGTGTAATTTGATGCAAACATCTCTATTAACTTGGGGCTTCACAAAGATTCCCCCTTTGAAAAACAAAACAAAACCCATTTTAAGCCTGCGTATTTGAGGCCACAAACAGCTCTGGAGTAAAAGAATAGCTGGGACACGGCCGTTCTTTGAGGATGATCTAATTGAAAAGTAAATGCATTGACTGCAAAAAACACATCGTTATGAAAATTTATATCATTTAAAAGAGGCACAAGTACCCTCGGCGCCGAAGGCAGCTGCGCAGCGGAGGCGAGGCTGTGAGCATGTTCCCTGCTCCACCTCCTGCCCTCTCACAGGGCCAGAATCCAGGACCCTCTTCACACTGCAATTTATCTGCTTTATCCCAGAAGGATTCCCACCCACCCCATCCCCCATTAAAAGAATCAGCTGAGACGTCTGACCCCTGGCATTTCCTACGGAGCATCCGGTTCACCCCACAAAGCAGGCACGTTGCAAACTCTCATGTGGCCGTTCGCTCCCGCCCTGCGGCAGCCCAGCAGGGCCCAGGTCAGCGGGAGCAAATCCTCGCCGTGTGTCGATCCCTTGCATCAGCTGCGGCTCACTAGGAATATTTTAACGATCCGATCCAGATGCAGAGAAGAGCTCGGGCCCAGCTCACGAGTCCAGCAACGTGCCGGGGGCGTCGCCCTCCTGGTTCCGTCCCAGCGAAGAGCCGTCGGCAGACGACGTGGATATAGACGCGCTCGGCATCGTGCAGTCTCAGGCTTCGCGGGGGGGTTGCTCTTTGCGTCACAAACACTCCCACCCCTGGGCCATCTCCTCTTTCCATGCAGAGGGCTGGAGAGCCCCCTCCCACCCACTCACTGAGGGATCGGAGCCCCGCGACCACAGGGCTGATTTCTCTGCCATCGGCCAAATGAGCATTAAAAGTCTTTGCTGGGTTCTCCCCAGAGGGTGCCAGGGCACCGTGCAGTAATAAGGAACTCATTAGCTGCAGAACCAATTAACAAGATAAGCTGCTCCTCCCAGTTCCCCCCAAGCCCTGGCAGGCAGCCTGGCGAGGCCTGGGGTCTGTCCAGCAGCACTGCCTCCCCGGCCCCCGCAGCTCAGGGAGCTCCCCGATAGCTGTAGTGGTTGCAGTCGGGGTCGCTCGTGGTCAGTGGTAAGCTGGGCTTGCGCTCCGGGTCCTTCTCCTCGCAGGGAAGAGAGGGGCGCTGCTTGAAGAAGTCAGAGACGTAGCGGACCTGGGGGGAGGAAGGAGAGAAGGAGGCGTTAGGGGAGAAGTCTACCGAGGAGCACCTCTCCAGGCATCCAGCAGCCCCTTTGAGAGCTCCTATGCAGTGACACTCGGCAGCACTGGAGTCATGCAGCAGCCTCAATAAAATGTAGGTCTGAGTGACATGCCCAAGGGCATGCAGAGAGTCACTGGCAGAACTGGAAACAGACCCCAGAGGGCCCGACTCGTCCTGCTTTGGGACCCTACGGAGTGCTGCAGTGGAGAAGGTGGGTGGGTGCAATACTTAGAGCATCCCAGACGGCTGCTGCTGGCTTGGCCGGCGTGTCGCCGAGCAGCCTCAGCTGGCAGCCACGCAGGAACCGAGACTCAGAGCCTGGGCAGGAATTCAGAGCTCATCCTGTTGCTGGAGGTCACGGTCATGCAATCAGCCATTCCCGCCCACCCCGGGCAACTGTGCTCCCCTAGGCGAGAGTTACGATGAGGACGGCAATGAGCGCCCCCTGGAGGAGCCCCACCAGCACGTCACTCCAGTGGTGCTTGTAGTCGGACACCCTGGTGTAGCCCACGAAGGCGATCAGGAAGAACTGGATCGTGGGGCGCAGCAGCCGGGCCCACTTCCCGCTCAGCCGGGCCTGGACGTACAGCTGGGGAGAGCTCAGCCCAGTGACTGGGGGTTCCTCCCCCAGGACCGCCACGCAGACCCCACGCAGGGGCCTAAAAGCTCAGGGCAGAACCATGCAGGGCAGCACGACACCTCCAGCAGGGGCAAGGAGGGCGGGCCAGGGCGTACCAGTCCATTTGGTCCCCGGCAAGGATTAACCCAAGTTCACTCAGTCAGGGGCACTGGAGTCCTGCCCCCCACCTTCCCAGTGCTGTAGCCATTGCATCACACCTCCCCCAACAGTCCTGATCGGTACCTACCCCCATTCCTATACCCCTCTCCCCCCTGCTCTACCCACTGGACTCCACTGCCCCCGCACATGCACCCCCAGCGAGACACTCACTGCGAGGAAGACCATGCAGTACATCCCGAAGGAGGAGTGTCCGGAATAGAAGGATAACCTGGAAGAACAAAGGCCAAGATCAGGAGGAGACTCCCACCCTCCCTCCAGGCTTCCCACAAGCCCATGGGACCCCCCTCACACTCTCCAACTCTGATGAGATTGATGCCCAGCGAGACTGTCCCGCCCCTCCCCCCAGCCACACACTTGTCCTTCCCTTCCCAGCTCCTCTGCTTCCAACAGCCAGGAGGGTCCCTGTCTCCTTGGCTGGCTGGCCGGTCGGGCGGGGGCGTTCCTCAGGATCCGACCTGGCCCCGAGTCCCCCCAGGAGGTTGCTCCCTCATGTCACCTGGACTCAGTGACGTTCCTGGCATCGCCCCGGCACATGTTCTCCAGCTGCACGTAGACGGAGCAGTTCACCTTGGACCAGTCGGGGTCGCAGACGGCGAGGAAGCTGGGCCGGAGCCGGCCGATCATGTACGGGCGGGGGCGTTCCTCAGGATCCGACCTGGCCCCGAGTCCCCCCAGGAGGTTGCTCCCTCATGTCACCTGGACTCAGTGACGTTCCTGGCATCGCCCCGGCACATGTTCTCCAGCTGCACGTAGACGGAGCAGTTCACCTTGGACCAGTCGGGGTCGCAGACGGCGAGGAAGCTGGGCCGGAGCCGGCCGATCATGTACTTGGCCAGGTCGGTCAGGGACTGGCTGACAGCCCCGCCGAAGAGGAACGTCCCCACCACCTTGTAGAGGGCGGCGAGGTAGTTGTTGAACTCCGACTTGGAGTACAGGCGCTCGGAGTACACCAGGTAGGCCTCCCCCATGGAGACCTGCAGACGCCAAGGGAGAGCCAGTGAGGACGGAGCAGCCGGGAACCTGCCCCGGATGCTGGCTCTGCTCTGGACGACCTCTGGGCGCTGCGTGCCAAGGATGGCAGAGCCAATCCCAGCAGGAGGGAGGGAGATGCTGGGTCTGGAGGATGCTCCAGCAGGGGCAGCGGCTCTGCGAGTTACTCCTGCCCTTGCTTCTCCCC